GCCTCTTCCCTTGACCAAGAACACACATGGATTGAAGAGAGAGAGAGAGAGAGAGAGAGAGAGAGAGAGAGAGAGAGAGAGAGATGGAGATGGTTAGAGGAAGAGGAGAGACACTGAAAGTTGCGCAAAAAGCTTCGTTAAAGTGGAACATTGGGCACAGAAGCAGTACGGCGATTCTAATGTAGCCCGATGGACCACGGATGAGGGTTTTTTTTTTTTGGTTTTTTTTTTCCCGAACAGATTCTACACCTGATCTTAGCCAAAAAAGGGGGTTACTTCTTTCTTTCTTCTTCTCTTTCCTGTTTCGTCACATATCGTGCCCTCAGGCATAGTGTGCGCGGCCTTTTAAAAAAAAAAGGAAAATCGGGGAAAAAAAAAGTGTGACGTGGGAGTGACCTTTTCATTGCGTCTGTGGGTTTTCCTATTTAACTTCTTCTACATCTCTTTTGTTTTTTTTCTTTGAAAAAAAAAGGGGCAGCGAAAGACCCCACTTTTTTTTTTTTTTTTGCTTCGAACTAAGGTTACTATGCTATATTCTTCTGTCAAGATGCACCCCAGATTCTTCGTTTCCGGTCATTGATCTGCATAGTCCATGAGAAGCCAAGGACTGTCTCGCAACAGACAGTTGAAGTGTGAGAACAGAGTGTGAAGATACGCCGATTGCAAACGCTCCGTTGCACACGCAAATTCGTGGAAACGTCCAATCTTAGAAACACACTGAGTCTCACAGCAGTGCGCTTTTTAACTTGTTTCTGGACGGAATTGCAGCCATCTATACAGGACTGGCTGTAAATGCGGTCAGATACATTTAAGATGGTGCTACTAGTGTGAGTACACCCTGAGAAACAGACTCCAGATAGAGTCCAAACACATGTCACACATTAGCCGACCTTGCGGCCAACACTTGGATGCGTTTCGTCGTCCACTCGGCATGCACAGATGCAGAAAAGCAGAGAAATCGCGATTCTCTGCACCTGTTCACAAACACGTCCAGGCTCAGGCGTTAAACCCAGTCGTCTTAGCTGGAAGGACCTCGTCCTTGGTGACGCCTAATGCAGTAGATGACATGGTAGCCTAAGCCAAAGGACCATGCGAAATGCAGGTGAGTGGGACATCAGCCTCAGGCTGGTGGTAGAGGACCCTCTAGCTAGCAAACAGGACTGAGTGGAGTGTCTAGATCTGGATGCGTTGTATGCAGAGATCCAGAAATGTAGATGAATCGTGATTCTCCCCGCACCTGCTCACAGAGACGTCCAGGTTCAGGCGTAAAATCCAATTCTCTTTGCCAGTAGGACCTCCTCCGAGTCACCCTTCGTGACATGGGTGCAGAAGATGGATGACATTCTAGCCAAAGCTAAACCGGCTGATGCTGCCGGGATAACTCCGGGGGAGTGGTCCCACTAGCAAAGAGGTATCGAACCGAATGCCTGAATCTGGACGAGTTTGTGGACATGTGCAGGAAATCGAGATTGAACTGCTTTTCTGCATCTGTGCTTAAAACACAACCAGATTCAGGAGCTCTATCCTATCCTTTTTGCTAGTGGGACCTCGGCCCGGGTTGAATTGTGAGGTCCCTGGCCTCTTGCAATTGATGTTTTGGAATAAATTGAGATTTGAGGGGGGGAAAAAAAAAAAGTTCCCGCTCATGTTCTCATTCGTCTAGTTCCATCTGGATTTGATCTCAGGTCTGCGAATTTCAGCAGTTCTTCCTAAGTTCTGATCACCTTTTTTTTCTTTTTTTACTAAGTCAGCGGCCGCCCCACCTCCCTGACCAGTGCCAAGTAGGGCGGGGGCCCGGGGGGGGGGAAAACAACATGCATCCCCCTTGATTGTAAGAGGTAGCTGTGCTTGCAGGAGTCCCTGTATAGGCTTAGGAGCATACTTGCTGTTCTGAATCACATGTGCGGTGCGCGGGCGCAGTGCGTTGGTTGCCGATGCGTACACACTGCGTGCAACACGCGTGCAAGGGCAGTGCACAAGGCTGCGCACAGCTGCACCCCGTGCGCCCGCACAGGTGCATGTTGCTCTTTTTTTTTTTTTTTTTTTTTTTCG